GGGGGGGGGGGGGGGGGGGGGGTGGAGGGGTCAATTTTGTTGTGTCTTGTCTGTCTGCTGCCCATCAGGCACGTTTGTTTGTGTCTCTTTGAAGAGTTGGAAGGGGGGGTGTCCTCCGATCTCTTTCGCTCATGCGCCGCGTATGCCGCACGCATGGCACGTTCTCGCACGTTCACTGTCTGATTTTCGATCAACGGACGCTTGATGCGTAGAAACAAATCGCGCTCCAATAGTTTGACCTAATACCATATGTATGCGTGGCGGGGATACAGACAGCCTAGGCTTGGTTTCAACGTACACGCACACTACAGTATACATCAACATACATGTAGACGGTGTGATATTTTTATATTTTTGACTCCACTCTCTCGTATCGGTTGCTTTGAACTTTTGTCTTGTTTGTGGTGTCCGCGCCCCCGAGTTTTCTGTATCGCCGGTGATTGACGCTTCGCGTGGGTCTTAGGAGTGGGTAAGGAAGACAGACGGCACGGAAAATATAGCGCGGGTAGTGTAGCATATATCGCGTGGATTAAGATACACGGTGAAATCAACACGTGGTAGGGCTGGCCACTGTGCGAGTTTGCTGCGGCTTTGGGTGGATGGATTCGGTCACGAATGATGAAAAACAGAATACCAGTGGTACGTTCCTCCTTCTCTGCTTTGTCCCAAGTATAACATCGCAACTAAGTAAAATAGCAGCCGCGTTTCGGTACTGTAGCAGCTCCGGCGTGTTTTTTTGTTATTGTCGCGGGGTCGGGGGTCCAGTGGGTGTGAACCGGAAGTTTGGGTTTTCGTGCGCGTTTGCTTGTTGTATGTGTGAGGACGGGAGCTGGGGTTGGCGGTACGTGCATGATGTGATGGTGGTAAAGTGGTGGTCGTACCGTAGTGCACGCTGAAGAGGGTACCCTATGTATCACATGCAAACCCGGTCCGGTCCGGTCCGGTCCGTCTGGTCTCCGCGCTAGCTTCTTGTTTCACATTGGCTGAAAAAATTTCATCAAATCATCAAGTGTATTTTGCTGTTGTCGCCGTTGACTGTGGACTGTACTTTTCTTTCCATTTCATGATTGTTGTTGGTCCAGTGGGGGTGTTGGCCATGGCCCCGCCATGTCCCACTACCATGAGCTACCCCAATAATGTAACCCACTGGTCCAGAGGCTGACTGCGCACGGATACAGACGTAAATAACGTTCAAACCGTTACGTTACATGATATACCTTGTAGAGGTCAGGTCAGGGGTTCGAATCCCGATGTGAGCGAGCTTTTCTTGCAAAGTGATTTTTTCTCACGCTTCCGCTCCTGGCCTAGTGCATAGCGCTAGTTCGTGTGTAACCAGAAGGAAGAGAGTGCTGAATTCTTCTCGCATTAAAAATCGAAGGCTAAAGTACCGCAGGAGGGGAAGGTAGAGAGGGGCTCGTCTGTGTGACCACGGGTTGGAGCACCAGTCAGTGCTGTGAGCGCTGATTTGAAGTGAAGACAAAAAAAAAAAAAACTCCTGGGCCGGTTTTCACAGCTCGATTACTCGACGGCGAAGAGTATTCTGACTTTCAAATGATGAGTTTTCGGAAAACTTTCGACGAGACGACGGTTCCAATACCTCCCCCCATTCTCGGCGCCATCACTACTGTTTTCCTGCTGAGAAATCGAGCTTTAAAAACCGGCCCAGGGGGGGTGATATCTCACGCAACCACTGCTGTACTTGCATACATCACAAAACTAGGGTTCCATGCATGCAATAGATCTTCGACCTCACCTTCAACATCATAGAAGATTCGAGACGTTGAGGTTCTTGCAACTAAATGAATGGTGCTGCTCAGGTCCTCAGACTTTGACTTGCGAAAACACCAGGTGTCTTGTGATACGACGGTTGCATTCCAGAGGTAGGTCGTATTCCAGACATGGGCCAGGCCGCCAATCAATCCGTAAAAACTGGGAGCCCGGGGGTAGCCCCGGGGCTCAAGTGGAGTGAGGCCCTCTGGTCCTTTTTTCCCAGGGAGGACATGCCGTACCTGTGTGGGGTATGATACGAGTTGCTCCTATATAGATGAACACGCTTGTAGGAGGTCGGACCACGATCAGCCAGGCCGCCAATCAATCGTTAAGCAAGAGGCGGCAGGATGGTCTCGAGTCCGAGAACAGGCCCCCGATTGGCGCGACACAATTTTCTGGCAAAAACCCCGCGAACACGTCATAGTCATCGTCGGAGCAAACACCCCTCCGGTTCGCCGCCGCCGGCAACACCGCTCGAACGCTTCCTGGCAAAAACAAGGCGGGTTGTCGGCGTTCTCACCACGCGGCGCATCTTACCCTATATAGCAATCACCGACCACCACAACAATGTAGCGGCATGATGAACGAATTGCATGCGATGGGTCGAGAAGAGACACCGACCCGTTCTTTCAGAACTAGGTTTCCGGATCTCGACAGGTGATAATTCTTACACCCTTGGGAGTTCCACCGCAAGTACAACCGCGGTAGCAGTAGCTCTCATTCAACAACCGTCAAGACAACCACTACAGGTATCCGAGGGGCGAATACATCCCGAACAAGCAATACAAGTTCTAGAGCGTCTGTGTGTCATCTCCTCAGGGAGGCTACGCAAGCAAGTGTTCTCAGGTCAACATCCAACAGTTCTCGAGGACCTAATTACCTTCAGTATCCCCCCCTTTGACCCACCAGCCAGAGCCTATCCAAGTACAACAAAACGCAAGCGACATTTGAGACACGTAACACAGACAGACAAGACTTTGTCCTGCTGACTTGTCCCGCGGATCCATCCCACGGGTTTGTCCCGCGGCTCTTCATTCTCGTCTGTCTAGGCCGCCAGTCTCGAGAGTCAACTTCCTTTCGCATCCCCCACCGGTATATTCTAATCAATATGTCCGTGTGTTATGATCTTGACGCTGTATATACTCCCAGAGAGACGGTGTGTGACCAGGCACATGTAGACTACAAACGACCCCGGTTTTCACAACCGTCACAAACAGGAAGATGTACCGCCAGCCAAAACTGTCCCTCGGGGGCAAAACCCTCTTGCGTATGCACGTAGATACACCGATGGTCAAAACTGTTCCCACAAGATATAACAAACCCCCTGCACTAACGTGTCAACAAGAGCGGACAGAGCACTCTGCTTAGTTGTCAGCAACGATCCAGGCGTCGAGCGTGCGCGGCCACGCGGAGCACTCCTCCTGAGATGGTTGTGTCGCGGCGTTGAGGGAGGGAGGGGTACGGACGGTAGTGACGGTAGTGAGATACAATACACTATCCCCACGCGGAATACCGTGAAACACTCTCGCGGGCCTCGCGCGTTTTTTCACCGTGTGGTTTGAAGTTCTAATCACCCTACTGTCATCATATTTGCCGAAGCACAAGACATGGAACAAATTTTCCACCCCGCTCCGCACGTAACAGACGAAAAGCGAAGTATCTCTACTCCCCCGACTCTTCGCGCACGCTTTTGCTCTCGCGTGTACTTTGACCACCTCCCTCAGCATTCACATCTATGTTGGTGCTGGTGATGCCGCTGTCATTGTTTCTTGTCAGTAGTCTACGCAGCAAAATTGATCAAGCAAACATATGGGATGACAAAAGTACTCTCTTTCCGTGCTTTGGGATTAAGGGTAGGGGTAGGGATAGGGATAGGGTCTGCCTGCGTGCCTTCTCCCTATCCTTTTTCTAGATGCTCTCCAAATACCGCGTAGGCGGTCCTTTTTGTCCTGTGCGCCCCCCACCTTACCTCAGTGAACCACATGCCGATCTCGTGCTGGGCGCTCTCGCCTCCGTCGCTGCCGTGGACCAAGTTCCTGCCCACGCGGATGCAGTAGTCTCCGCGGAGGGATCCTGCGGTTGTTGTTGTTGTTGTTGGAGGTGATCATGTTGTTGTTGTTGTTGTTGTTCCTCGGTTGCTATCGTAGTTGCCATTTTTTCTCTTTTTCTTTTGCTGCTGATGTCGTTGTTGTTGTTGTGCTTGTTGGACGACATCGCGAACTGGTGCGTATTCATACATAAGAACCACGAGAGTCGACGGTTGAACGAAGCGCGACAGTCTTCGTGCGTGTGTGATGCCATCCTATACATCCCGGAGGCTGTTTTTAGCAATACCTTATTCTAAATGGTGAGACGCACCACCCGGGGGTTTCGAAAAAACTCATCTGGCTCGGACTCGTCTATTGACCCCTTTGAGGTACGGTCCAGGCTCCGATACAAGAGGGTCGAACGCCTTTGTCACAACCACCGTCATATATCGGAACCGCTACAGTCGCAAACTATGGCCTTTCGACCGTCCACCTCATGGGAATTTCATTCAAAAACGCCGCCCTTCCGACAGCAGGATAACCAAGGACCGGGTCGGGCTTCCAAGCAAAAAAAACAAACAAACAGAACCCACCTGGCTCGGACGAGTTGGGGTTGGTCGCCCCGAGCATCTTGCGCCCGGTCAAGATGACCTCGGGCCCTTCCCACACCATCGCCACGATGGGCCCGCTCGAAAAGTAGTCCACCAGGCCCGAAAAGAACGGCTTCTTCGACAGGTCTGCGAAGGGCCCAGGCAAGCGCGAGGGATGTCCACGTCTGTTACGGAAACGTCTGTGCAGGTCCTCTAGTTCCAAGTCAAGGATCAGTCACAAGAACGAACCGAATGAAACTAGTGTTGTGTGCACATGTGGTTGCGGTTTCGGGAATTCCGTCGACTGAAAATCGGTACAAGGGCTAATATCTTATTTCACCTATACTGCTGTACGTACGTGAATGCGCAGTATCTGGCCAGGCAGCGTGGGAACAACACTGCGGGGGGGGGTGTACTCGTAGTCGTGCATGCCGTAGTCGTTAGACCATTGACCTCGCATCCCTACAAAGCCGGGACGGAGCACGCCGGGCTCTCACCGGACCAGGCTCAACACTGCGGGGGGATGGGCGTTAGGGTCCCAAGGGGTGCGGAGGAGGGATCGACATGTCTGCGACGGGCAGCGTGGAAAATGTTACGGATATGAATATGTGTTTTCTCTACCTGGTATATCTACTTATTTGACAGTCATTGCTCAGCACTTCATATGAGAGGGCCGGTGCAGCAGGCTTTATGACGTGCTGCTACCCCGCCTCTCAACAAAATGTTCCTAATCGTTCAATGTGGCCAAGGAGTCTATTGGAGGGGGCTTGGTGTGGAATAGTAAACCCATATACTCTCATTGAATAGGCTTTAAATCACATCCTAAAAACCAAATAATATGAGGTGTGTGGGTTGATGTATACCATGCAAAATCCAAGGTTTGCTTCTGCTCTACAATCAAATAGATGGAGCTTATCAAAAACAATCATAAATCCTACCACGGTATATTATAGACCCCCTCCCCCCCCTCCCTGATTGGCCCCTTATCCAGTTCGGAGAAGGACGTGTAGGCGTCGCCCTTCTCGACCACAAGGAAAAAACTCAACTAATATACAGAACGTGTCCGCACCTAAGAACCCAAGAGTTACGAATTGAGCCCAAAAAAATTCAACATTTAAGAATTTGAGCACCATATGTGGACTCGGTTAAGAACGTGTACATTAAAACCTACATAGCAACCATTCGTAGCACGACCCCAGGAATACAGTAACAACCGCAGCCTCTGCCAAGACTCACAGAGGTTCTCAAGTGCGGGCGCGTTCTGTATTATACCACCAAGAACTGCGGTGCACGTGTCCCTCTTTAACTAGCATCGACTGGGCAACAATACCCCGATGACCAACGAACATGTGTGTGTGTGCCGATTGATCACGCATCTCACCGGCGTAATGGTTGGCGGCCATCTCCTTGGTTGGCCAGATCATCTACGGATATCGCGGTACGTGACGCGATCGCGGAAGGTTGCCAATCGGCCAGAAGCGCCATCACCACAACACAAACCCGCACGCGTGGGAGCAGAGTCAGTGCCACGGGTAAGCTCGTACGCTCGAATGAGCG